GCCGGGGCTGAGTGGCAGGCCTTGGAGGGCTGCATGGGTCTTAGAATGACCGGTTATTTTGAGCCAGATGGGAGGGAAGCAATACTGAGAGGCCTCCAGTGTGGTCACGCTTGGCAGATGGAAATGGCCCCACATAGTGAGGTTAGGGGTGGGTGCGGAGGCACAGCAGGTGCTTCCCTGGGCTCTGCCTCCCTTGCTTAGCCCTGCAGGGCAGAATGTGGATGAGCAGGAGGGCAGAGAGGGTGCTGTGGACAGGAGGCCTTGCTGGGGGTTGGCAGGGTTGGTGCTGCCGAAGTGATGCCACAGCCAGGTTTGTCAGGACCAAGGCTGGCTCTGCAGGGCCAGATTGGGCAGGGGGGCCTTCTTACCTCGTGGAAGCAGCTCGGCTTTCCCCTGGAGTGGTGGGCTTTTCTTTTTTTTTTTTCTTTTTTTTTTTGAGACGGAGTCTCGCTCTGTCGCCCAGGCTGGAGTGCAGTGGCCGGATCTCAGCTCACTGCAAGCTCTGCCTCCCAGGTTCACGCCATTCTCCTGCCTCAGCCTCCCGAGTAGCTGGGACTACAGGCGCCCGCCACCTCGCCCGGCTAGTTTTTTGTATTTTTAGTAGAGACGGCGTTTCACCATGTTAGCCAGGATGGTCTCGATCTCCTGACCTCGTGATCCGCCCGTCTCGGCCTCCCAAAGTGCTGGGATTACAGGCTTGAGCCACCGCGCCCGGCGAGTGGTGGGCTTTTCAAAGAGAAAACAGGGCTGTGGTGGTGGCATTTTTGAAGTGATTGTGGCTGCAGTTGGGAAGATGAACGGTGGGGAGGTGTCCCATGATAAACTGGGTGAAAGATGGTAATCTGATTTAAAGTAGCAGCAGGGGATGGAGAGTTGAAGGATTTGAGGGAGACTTGTGCCTGGGAAGTGTCCAGACTTTGGTGATTGGTGTGTTTGTGTGCGGGAGAGGCCTATGGGCTGCTCAGTAGCAGCTCTGATGGTGGGGACGGTAGGTGAGACGCAGGGGTGACAAGCAGGTTGTAGGGGTGAGCCGGGGGGAGGGGGCGGCTAGCTGGCTTTGGATTTCTGAGACACCCAGTAGAGATGTCGAGGATGAATTAGCTGGACAGGTCTGTGTTCCCAGTATGAGGGCTGATGGAACTCAGGTGTCAGGGTCCCGCTTGGGACCTTGGGATGGTGGAGTGGGAGAGCAGGGTTGGGGAGGCAGCTGGAGAGGTGGAAGGAGCATCTTAGAGAAGGGGCAAGGGGAAGGCCAGCAGCATCTCCTCTCACTGCAGCTCCTGCCCATGCCCTCCAGAGTCCCCCTCCCTTGGGCTGGTATGTCAGGGCTGCTCTCTGGTGTTGGGCTGAGCTTGGCTCAAGCAGGGGCTGAGGAAACATTTGTGGGAAGAAGAGAAGGAATGGAGGGGAGAGACCCTGGCCTTTGGGATCAGCTGACCTGTTTTACATATTAAATTTATTGCATTGGCCGGGCGCGGTGGCTCACGCCTGTAATCCCAGCACTTTAGGAGGCCGAGACAGGCGGATCGTGAGGTCAGGAGTTGGAGACAAGCCTGGCCAATGTGGTGAAACCCCGTCTCTACTAAAAAAATACAAAAATTAGCCGGGTGTGGTGGCACATGCCTGTAATCCCAGCTACTCAGGAGGCTGAGGCAGGAGAATTACTTGAACCCGGGAGGCGGAGGTTGCAGTGAGCCAAGATTGCGCCACTGCACTCCCAGCCTGGGTGACAGAGCAAGACTCGGTCTCAGAAAAAAAAAAAATTACTGCATTGTATTCCTGTTTTATTCTTAAATTTTTTGTTACATGTCTTTTCAAATGTACCTGAAAGTAGAGACTATGATAGTGATGAGTGTTTATCATAGTACATGTGCTAATATTTTGGTGTTCCTTCATCTGGCTTCAAGTTACCAATATTTTGTCATTCTTAGTTTTCATATTCAGCTTATTTCTCCCCCCTCCTCCTTTTTCTTTGCTGGATGACTTTAAAGCATATCAGAGATATTTCATCTGAGATCGTTAAGTATGTTTCTGTAATTTCTCAACTAACATTTGGGTCAGATAACTTCTCTGGGGGGGCCTGCGCTGTGCGTTGTAGGATATTGAGATGTATCCCCACCCTCCACCCACCAGATGCAGGAGCACTGCTCCCCGCTTTGAGACACCCAAAAGCATCTCCAAACATTGCTCCGTGTTCCCTGGGGACAACCCTTCCTCCATTTGACAACCATTGCTCTAAGCAGATAACCTTAAAAAATTGTTCTTTTAACAAAACCACAATAGCATGATTAGATTAGCAAAATTCTTTAGTGCCTATTCCATGTTCAAATTTTTCTGTCTCAAGAATTTTTTTAATTTTAATTTTAATTTTTTGAGACGGAGCCTGGCTCTGTAGCCCAGGCTGGAGTGCAGTGGCGCGATCTCTGACTCACTGCAAGCTCCGCCTCCTGGGTTCATGCCATTCTCCTGCCTCAGCCTCCGGAGTAGCTGGGACTACAGGCAACCGCCACCACGCCCGACTAATTTTTTTTTTTTTTTTTTGTATTTTCAGTAGAGACGGGGTTTCACCGTGTTAGCCAGGATGGTCTCGATCTCCTGACCTCGTGATCCGCCGGTCTTGGTCTCTCAAAGTGCTGGGATTACAGACGTGAGCCAGCGCGGCCGGCCAAGAATTTTTTTTCTTTTTTTGATACGGAGTCTCACTCTGTTGCCCAAGCTGGAGTGCAGTGGTGCAATCTTGGCTCACTGCATCCTCCATCTCCCGGGTTAAAGAAGAGTAGCTGGGACAGGCATCCCCCCATCATGCCCGGCTAATTTTTTTATTTTCGGTAGAGATGGGGTTTCGCCATGTTGGCCAGGCTGGTCTTGAACTGTTGACCTCAGGTGATCCCCCTGCCTCAGCCTCTCAAAGTACTGGGATTACAGGCCTGAGCCACTGTGCCCAGCCAAGAATATTTTTTATAGTTTGTTTCCGTAAGGATCCAGATCAAGGTCCCTACCTTGAATTTGGTAACAAAAGTTTCTATAATTTATCCTTTGTACCTTCCCCCCCTTTCTTTTTTTTTTTTTTGCAAGCTCTTTTATTTGTTGAAGAAATAAGTTCATCTGCTATCATGTAGGCTCATTGTATTCTTCCCTCCCTCCATTTTCCTCTAAATTGGTTTAAGTAAGCTTAGAAGCTGGAAGAGATCGATTCAAGTTTTTAAATTTTAGTCAACCTGAGTTTGAATCCTAATTTCTGAGCTTCCCTTAGCCCATTTATTGTTGGGAGAACATGGCTGTTGGGGTGGTTCTCGGAGCGCCCACCATGGTGGCTCGTGTGGAATAGACACTTAGGGCGAGGGACCCCTCCCCATGGTGAGTTCGTCTAGGCCTGCCCTCTATGGTTCTGCTGACTCGCCAGCGTGTCTCTCTGTTCTTTCTCCTCCTTCATGCCTATGGTGTGTCTTTGCTCTTTTTTTTTTTTCATCCTGGAGGATGTTTGGGTAAACTCCACCAAACCTGCACGAAGGGTTCCTTTCTGACGCCTGTGGCGAAGCCCCCTCCTCCCTGTCCCTTCCTGCCTTCAGTTCCGGGGTTGGGTGGATGCTGGCTGGCTGCTAGGCTTGAGCCTTGTTCACAAACCTGCCTCTCCTTTCCCCACAGATCTTTGTGGAGTTCACCTCTGTGTTTGACTGCCAGAAAGCCATGCAGGGCCTGACAGGCCGCAAGTTCGCCAACAGAGTGGTTGTCACAAAATACTGTGACCCCGACTCTTATCACCGCCGGGACTTCTGGTAGAGGCGGCTGGGGGAGGGTGGGGGCAGGGCTGGCTGGGGGCTTCTCCCCACTCCCGCCCCCCCCTTATCCCCCTCTGAAGACGATGGGCAGAGGAGTGACAGCCGCAGACACACGACAGCCGGCAGCAACTGGAATGGCAGCAATTAAGGGTGGGGGGCGGGGGTTGGGGGGTTAGGGCAGGGAGGGGACTGGGGAAGTGCGCACACAGCCCACACAGACAACACGCACCCACACAGACACAGAGGGAAGGGGTTGGGATGGGGACAGGGTGCACAGCAGGGCGGGGTAGGACCCCAGCCCCTCTCCTCCCTTAGACCCCCTTTCTCCTCCCCTTCCCCACGGTAGGAACATAGCGTGTTTATATTTTATGGCCAAATTATTCTGAATTTTGTTGTCCGGCCCTCAGTGCCCTGCCCTCTCCCTTCCCAGGACCACAGCTCTGTTCCTTCGGCCTCTGGTCCTCTCTGGTCCCCTCCTGGGTTTCTTACGTAGTTGATTTTTTCCTCTTTAGTCTCCCCCGACCTGCGCCCAGCCCTGTGGCCCCTGCCCCTCTCCTACTCTCTGTGGCAGTTTCATATTTGCTAAGACGAATTTGCTCATTAAACATTTTGTTGTATTTTACTTTATCGAGCGGCTGCGTGTCCAGTGTGTCCGACCCTCTTCCTCGGTTCTGGGCTTGGGTGGCGGTTCCCTTGCAAACCGTGGGCCTCTGATGGGGACGCCCTGGTGCCGGTGCCGGCGCCGGCACCCTCGGGGCCTTCCCTGCTTGCACGGTGCGCTCCTCGGGGTCGGTACAGGCATAGTCCCGGGGGGCGTGAGGTTCCCGAGTGCTCTCCCACCCCGCCGACAGGAGGAAGGGTGGCCGAGCGGGCCGGGGCGGGCGCGGCGTGGGTGCGCCACGAGCTCCGCGGTTGCCGCCAAGCCAGCTTGAGGGGAACCCGGGCGTCCGCTGAGCACCCCGCGGAGCCCCCACGGCAGCGGGTGGAAATGACGTAAGGCGCCTAGCAACGGGGGCCAGCGCGCCGGAAGTGATGCCTTCCAGGTTGGCTTGGCTGCGGAAGCGACTCCCGCCAGGGCGGGGCGCGGCACGCAGTAATTTCCGCTTCCGGTCCGTCGCCCTCTTCGGTTGCTTCCCGTCTCCTCGGCGGCTCCCCTCCCCCGCCGGGCTCTCCGCGCCCCTTTTGGGCGGCGGGGCGGCGGAGCCGTCGGCGTGCGGCCCCCCTTGCGTTCGTGCGTGCGCCCGTGGCGCCTCCTGGTCCGCCGCCCGGGGCTCGGCGCACGCTGCGCGACACCGAGGCCGAGCGGGGTAGGGGGCTGACCGCCATGACCCCCCAGAGCCCGGCGTGAGGGGGCCGAGGTGAGCGCGGGGCGGAGCGCGGGGGACGCCGGCCCGCCTGCTCCGGGCGTTCGGGCCTGGGCCGCGGCGCGCGCGGGCTCGCGCCTGGCCGGTTCTGGGTGTCTCTGGCGGCCTTTGTGTCTCTGCTCCTGTGTCGGCCTTGACTGCCCCCGTGTCGGTTGTCTTGTCTCTCTCTCTCTCCTGTCTGTGTCTGTCCGCGTCTGTTTCCCGTGGGGCTCTGCCTGTGCCTGTTTCAGTAGACTTAGAAAAGGGTTTGGAGATAGGAGCGTGTCTGTGTGTCTGTCCCGGGTCTCTTTTTCCTCTGCCTGTCAAGTCTGTGTCTGTCAGGATTTTGTTTGTGTCTTTCGAGTTTCCGAGTCTTCATTTCCCTAGGTGTCTCTAGCCCTTCCCTGCGGGCTTTTCTGCCTATGGTGCAAATCTTACCCCCGTCCCGTCTTAACATCGGAGTTTTGCCCCCATACCTATCACCTCCAATCCTGAAGTTTCTTTCCAGGAGTCTGTTCCCTGATCTAGAATCTGCCCCTTTTCACATGTTTTCTGAGTCTCCGGTGTGGTGGTGAAGAGCCCCAGCCTTGGATTCAGAGGCCCGGCTGCCTGCTAAGCTGTGTGGTATTTGCCAGGTGATATCCTCTATCTCCAAACCTCAGTTTCCTAGTCGTAGGAAATTCGTAGTTCGTAGGCGTTCATAGTTTCTACATCATTGGGTCCTTGTGCGTGTAAGTTGAGGTGATACATAAGTACCAGACGGTATCTGACACATAGCGAGTGTGTAATTACTGGGAGCTCTGGTTGTTGTCATTACAGTGCTTAGAGAGTTTTACACAGTAAGTGTTAGATATCGGTCGGTTATTGGAGCACTCCTTGGAGAGCTTTGTCATATTCTTTGTATTCTTTTTAATCTAATAATTCTCTTGGAATCAACTTAATTTGAAATACGGTCTCATTCTAAGCAGTATCTGAGAAATCGTAGCTTTGATGTGCTAGTTGGGTATGTTTTTTAATGCACGCCAAAGAAGTACACAGTATTAAGATAGTGTGTTTTCTGCCGCCACCCTTTTGGAACTGTTCTGTTTTTTTCTCTGATAATAATAGCAGCCAGTGTTATTGAGCGCCTACTATCTGTAGGGCACAGGGCCAAGCACTGTATGTACCCATCGTATTTAATCAACAGGCCTGCCAGGTAGGAATTCTTTCATTTCAGAGTTGAGCAAACTGCATCTCAAGGAGGTTGGCGCTGCAGGTAGCTGATGTGGCCAGGATTTGAACCCACATTTTATATTCTTTGCCATTAGATTCCATTTTTCTTGTCTCTTATTTCTCGCCAGGTCTCTTTTTGTTTCTGGGCCTCTGTCTTTCCTCCTTGGCCTCCTGCCTCCCTGTCTTCCCATGTTCTCGTATCTGCTGTTGCTTGTATCTTTCTCATTGTGTCTCTGCCTAGCTCCTCCTGCCCCGGTTTGGGTTTCTGTGTGTCTCTCTCTGTCCGGGTCTGTCTCTATTTCTTGTCAGTCCCCTTCTCCGTATTACATCATCTCATCATCTTAATGTGTCAGGCTGGGGCTGCTTTGGGACTCCGGAGAGTTTCTTTTTAACTAGCTACATCTGTCTTCAGGTGCCTGGCTCTCTGGTCTGAGTTCGAAGCAGAGGCCAGCTGTCTCCTGGTTTGAAGCAGAGGTCAGTCATCCCTGTTTCCCCTGGGCTTACATCATGGTGGGGCTTTGAAAATCTCCCTCTGTGGCTTGTTGGAGCCACATAGACCGGTGATGAGAGCTGGCTCTGGAACCAGGCTGCTCCAGGAGTAAGGTGTGTGTCCCTGGGCACGGGGCTGAACCTCCGTGTCTCAGTTTCCACCCTGTGAGGTGACTATGAATCATGGGGTTGTTTCAAGGATTAACTGAGTTAATACATGTAAAGCGCTTAAAACAGTGCCTGGCATGGGATACGAGCAGTGCGAGTGTCTGCTGGTGTCATCATCGTTTGCTTGACTCTCCTGTTTCTCATCACCAGTCTTGGGGTGGGTTAATTTAATTGAGGTTAATTTAAAAGTGAGTTTTGGAGTTCAGGTGGGCCTTGGTTTGAGTCTACCCTGCCATTCCTGGTGTGTGACCTTGGTTGAGTTAGTTAACCTCCAGGAACCCAGTCTCCGCATGCAGTGTTGAAAAATGTAATGTCCCTCTTGTGCTGAGTGAGCATCTGGCACACAGGTGGGACCCAGGCAGTGGGGCTGTTAGGTTCCTTATCTCTCCTGAGCCCTGGGCTTCCCCTGTCCTTGGGACGTCTGGTCTTCTGGCTTCCCCGGTTCTTCCTGCCGCCCTGGGTTGGCTCCCTGCTCCTGCCCCGTCTTTAATCCCTTCATCAGCTTTCTTTCTCATGTGTCCTTGTTTTGCTGTGGATTCCTGCCCGCTCCATCCTTGTTCCAGAGGTCTGTCCTGCCCTCCCTCTCCACTTCCTCCTCGCATGGTTTACTGAATGGTTTTTCTGGGCCAGCTTCTTTGCTAGGAAAAGCCACGTCCAGACAAGCATGTTCTCTGCCGCCTTGGGGCCTGTAGGTTGACCTGAGCTACAGAATCAGACAAAAGAATATAAAATCATGAGGGAGGCTGGGTTTACTGATGAGGCTCCAGGGAAAGGTGACCATGATATTTGGGTGTGGACCTGGGAAGTGTAAGCAGAGCACTTGGGGTGAGTGGACATCCCTGGGTGAGGAAGAAGGAAGAGCGCATGGGCAGGATGGAGTGCCTCCGGATGTGCTGGCAGTGTTTACAGGGCGTCAGTTCCCTAGATGACCGCATGGAGCCCCATTTGACAGAAGAGAAAGCTGGGGTGCAGGAGATGGCAGCCCACCCAGGGTGGCCTGGCCAGGAACTGGCTGAGGCAGGGTGTGGGGCTGCGATGTGCCACTGCATATACTCTGCCTCACTGAGCAGGGGCCCCAGCAGGAAGGAGGCAGCCTGTTTGAGGAACTGAAACATGGATGGGGTTACTGTGAGACCTAGAGGTTAACAAGGGACAGAGCCTTCTGGGCCACAGTTAGGAACTCATCTTTGACCCTGAGGGCTCTGGGCAACCCATGTCCCACTTGTGTTTCCAGAGGTCCTGTTCCCTTCTCAGATGCAGTGACCTGCCAGCGCCTGCCGCATCCTTCATCCGGGAGTCGCCCCATCTCTCCACGCATCGGGGCCCTGTGCCCCTTGCTGCTGCAGCCGGGCACCATGTCGACCTCGTCCTTGAGGCGCCAGATGAAGAACATTGTCCACAACTACTCAGAGGCGGAGATCAAGGTTCGAGAGGCCACGAGCAATGACCCCTGGGGTCCGTCCAGCTCCCTCATGTCAGAGATTGCCGACCTCACCTACAACGTCGTCGCCTTCTCGGAGATCATGAGCATGATCTGGAAGCGACTCAACGACCATGGCAAGAACTGGCGGCACGTCTACAAGGTCAGCGTCCCGCTCTCCTCCCCAGGCAGGTGCAGGGGCTCAGGTGGGAGGGCAGGAGCCCATGTTGTGCACCCTGCCTGGGATGGCATCCCGGTTCTCAAGAGGAGCTGTAGAAGAGTAAAATCTCTCTTTTTGTTTAATGAAGGCAACGAATGTAAGGCTAAGAAGTTTGGAGCCTTGTGGTTAAAATCTGTTTTTGAGTGAGTGGTGCATTTGTAAGATTCATGTGCTCAGGAGGCCTGAAAGGGCTCACAGTGCCCATCTCTTCTGTGTGCCCAGATACCCAGTTCCTTTCCTCACAGCAGCCAAGTTTCCGCTCTGGGCCCCGTCTGTGAATGCCCCTCAGGCAGGTGTGTGCTCCCCGTGGCACAGGCGATGCCACGCTGGGGATGAACGCTGGAAGTGTCGTGTTCTCACACTCCTTGTCAGACTCAGAAGCCTGCATACGGTTTGCTGGCATCGATCCCACAGTGGGAGAGACAGGACCCTAGGGATGGAATGCAGATAGCAGGTTGGTGCTCGCCGGGAGTTGGACGGGAGGGGTCACCTAGAAAGGGCAGCACAAGGACATTTTGGGGGCAGCGAGACTGGTCTGTGCCTTGAGTGCCGTGGTGGCTTCACGTCCTGTGCGTTTGTCAGAACTCAGACTGATGTTAAAATGAGTGAGTCTTACCATATGTAAATTAGACCCCAATTTAAAAAAGGAAAAGGAGATTTTATCTTGAACATTGCCTATCAGGATGTAAAAGATTTGCTGCTTTTTTTTTTCTTTTACAGCTGCAGAACTTTCAACTCTGTGGATTGGTCATAATTTATTTAACTAGTGACTTGTTGGTGGATTTTTTTGAAAAGGGTTTTGCAGTGTTTTAAGAATGAGATTGCCGTGAATATCCTTGTACCTTTGCTGTTTTCTAGAACTGGAGTTGCCGAGTCAAGAGGCTCGTGCATGTGTAATGTGGCAAATGTGGCCAAAGTGCCCTCCATGGATGTGGCCTAGTTGCTGGCCCTGATCCACTGACCACACACGCAGATCGCAGGTTTTGGGTCAAAGGGCTCGCACCTGTGAGCAGGACTCAGCGAGTGGGTTTTCAATTTGCTGCTCGTGGGGTCCAGGGGCCTTAGCATCCCCACCTTTGGTCTTTGGTTACTGTGTTCCTCGTGTTACGGCAAAGTGGCCAAGGACGTGGGCTGGGGCCGGGTTACTCTCCCGGTGGTGGGATCTCGGGCTCGTCCCTGAATCTCCCTCTGTGAGGGCCCGTGGAGTTGATTCACATCTGACTCGGGTTAGGGGCTGGTGAGTGTTAGACAGCTGCTGTTGCGGTCCATTGGCAAGCATCTGCAGAGGGCCCGCTCTGGGTGTCTTGGTGCACCAGACCTGCAAGGCTCCACCCTCGTGCACTTAGACCTGGGCCTTTTCTGGGCGAGGTCCCCGTCGTTGCTGATGTTGGAGACTTCTGCCCAGGTGAGGGCAGTTGCCGCCACTCACAGATGAGGAGGCTGAGGCCCGGAGCGCTGCACCACTTCCACGTGGGAGCAGGGATTGAGGCTCATTTCCTGTGACTCGTTTTCATGCCCAGCCCGACACACCAAGATTGGGTTGAGTCATAGGTTGAATCAGTTATTGGTCATTTATTGTGAAGGGCTGGGTGGCGTTTGTTTAGTTGAGGATCGTGGAAAAGCCTGGGGGTGCAGGGGAGCCTCTGTGGAGGCAAGGAGGAGGGGCAGGGCTAGAGGGGCAGGTGGGGCTGGAGGGGTGGGTGTGCAGAGGTGATGAATCCAGAGGGGCCCTAGACGCAGATCCTTCTGGCTAGTGGCCAGAGTGATGCTGCTGGGGGCAGAGACAGAGTGGCCTGTGGGCAGGGCTGGCAGGTGCCAAGGCCTGAGAGTCTGCTAGGGAGCATGCGGTGCTGGTGGCCGGGGTGGACGGCAGGGCAGGGCAGGAGAGGGATGTGGCCTTCAGTACCAGGCGGGGCTTGGGCTGCTTCCTACAGGAGGTGGGAGAGCCTCCATGGGGAAGCAACTTGATTGTTTTTGTTCATGTCGCACTTTTGTCCTGAGGTTGGTTACCTGTGGGCAGCCTCTTGCTGGACGGTGCTGGGGACCCAGCCCTGACCCTCAGGCAGCTCCCAGTTCGGTGGGAGTTGAGCCGATAGGCTGGCGGGTGCCATGAAGGAGGGAACATAGCATAAGGCTCTGCGGGCCTCAGGCAGTCAGGGCAGACTTCCTGGAGGAAGCAGCCAGCCAGTCACAGGTCTTAGCCTTTCTAGCCTGGTTCTTTCTAGTAACTTTGTAAAGGTAGGTTTACTGAGGTATAATTTGCACGGTAAAACCCAGCCTTTCAAGATAGAGTTTTCTGGGTTCTGACAGATATACATATTTCATAACTGTCATCACAGCCAAGGCATAGAAGGTTTTAGTCACCCCCAAGACCTCCCCTGTGGTTTTCGTAGCCCCTCTGGAACCCTCCCCAGGCCTAGCTGTTCTTGCTGTGTTCACCATCCTCACAGCATCTCTTGATTCTTGAGACTCTCCTTTCTGTGCTCCCCACAGCAGAGTCTGGGCGCTGGCCTTTCTCTTTGAGCATGGGGATCCCCAGCCCATGTGGCTGAGGACATGGGGTTCCTGCTCCACCCTGAACGGCTGATTCCTCACACTGAGGGTGGGGTTCAGCCTCAGTACCCCCGGGGAGGGTTGATGGTGTCTGTGGAAACCTGCTTTGGTTGCCGCTTGTGCTGCCTGCTGAACACTGTCCTGAGAGCAGCTTTGTGAGGTCAGCACGTGTCACTGTTGTCCCTGCTGTGGCATGTGCTGATAGCTGAGCATAGGCACAGAGCAGGGGTCCAGGAGGGGCTCCCTGCGTCCACGTCTAGCCAGCGCCTCCCCTCTTGGATGACCACTTCTATCCTGTAGTCCCCTTCTGGAAGTACAGGTGATGAGGACAACCCCACAGGCCCAGAGGCCTGAGCCACTGTGAAGCTGCTGCACGCCCTCTGACCCTCTCCAGAGCCCTCTGTGCTGACCTGTTCCGGCATGAGGGTGGGTCCTCTTGCTTCCCACCATCCCTTTGCCACATGGTCTCATCTTGTCACTTCACCCCAGGTGGTGGGTTGTGTAGGAGCAGTCTTTCCACTTTAATGGATGGGGAAACTGAGGCCCAGAGATGGGGGAGGTGGCCTGCTCAGGCTTGTGGGGGAGCTGGGCCTTGGGCCCGTCTGTTCAGAGCCCAGGCTGTCCTACCCTGTGGCCCTGCTGGCTGGTACTTTGTGGATCTTATTGTCCCCGTGGAGAAGGAGGGTGATCTGGCTCTGCACGGCCTCCCTGCGTGGCCTTGGGGGTGAGTCTTGGTGAGTAAGGGCCGGCGTTTATTTGGTACCTTGTATGTGTAGCACACGTAGGTTCTCATCAAATCCACAGTTGCCTGGTGAAGGAAGTTCTTTTCTTCCTTTTTCTCTGTTTTCCAGATGAGGAAACTGAGACACAAAGGAGCTCAGCTCTACCACGCAGGATGTGGTAGAGCCAAGAGGAGTCCCGAGCCCACCCTCTGGGCCCTGCCCCGAACCCCCGCTCTGGGTCCTGCCCCGAACCCCCGCTCTGGGCCCTGCCCCGAACCCCCGCTCTGGGCCCTGCCCCGAGCCCACCCTCTGGGCCCTGCCCCGAACCCCCGCTCTGGGTCCTGCCCCGAGCCCACCCTCTGGGCCCTGCACTGCCACCTCACTTCTGAGGAATGCAGGGTCTCTCAGTCTTGACTTTAAACCAGGGGTCAGCAAAGTACAGCCCACTGGTGAAATCCCACCCACAGCCGTTTTTGTAAAAAAGTGAAGGAACACAGCCAGGCCCATTCATCTGTGGCTGTGGAGTAGTTGAGACAGAGAGTATATGGCCTGAAAAACTGAAATTTTTTCAGCTGGCTCCTTACAGAATGTTAGGCTGATTCCTGTTTTAAACTTTATTTCTGCATTGCAGCATGTCCTTGATAAAGCTGCCTTTGGCATTAAAAAGGGCTATTACTTTATGCAGTTGCCCACTGCTTTTTGTTTGTTTTTAGAAAAGCAAAGGAGAAACAACTTATTCGGCAAACTTTTTTTTTTTTTCAACTTTTTTAGAGACAGGGTCTTGCTCTGTAGCCCAGGCTGGAATCCATCAGTACAATCATAGCTCACTGAGCCTTGACCTCCTGGGCTCCAGGCATGGTTGAGGAATAGCTGGGACCACAGGCACGTACCACCATGCCTGGCTATTTTAAAAATTTTTTGTAGAGATGAGGGGTCTCACTGTATTGCCCAGGCTGGTCTTGAACTCCTGGGCTCGAGTGATCCTCTTGTCTTGGCATCCCAAAGGGCTGGGATTATAGACATGAGCCACTATATCTGGCCCACTTGCTCACTTTTTTTTTTTTTTTTTTGAGACGGAGTCTCGCTCTGTCGCCCAGGGTGGAGTGCAGTGGCCGGATCTCAGCTCACTGCAAGCTCCGCCTCCCGGGTTCACGCCATTCTCCTGCCTCAGCCTCCCAAGTAGCTGGGACTACAGGCACCTGTCACCACACCTGGCTAGTTTTTTTGTATTTTTTAGTAGAGACGGAGTTTCACCATGTTAGCCAGGATGGTCTCGATCTCCGGACCTCGTGATCCGCCCGTCTCGGCCTCCCAAAGTGCTGGGATTACAGGCTTGAGCCACCGCGCCCGGCCTGCTCACTTCTAAAATAAGATTTTAAATTTTTCATTAAGGAATTGCATACTAAGCACATCATGAATGTATAACACATTGGACACCTGTGTAGCCTTCGCCTAGAGGGAGGTAGAGGATGCATCCAGCCTTCCAGGTTCCCTCAGGAAACCCGTCTCCCGCGGGCACCGTGTCTGACTTCTGTCTGCCAAGACTGTTCTTGAACTTTATATACGGGAAGTCACGTGTGGTCTTTTGTGTCTGGCTTTTGCTCACCATCACCATCAGGTCAGCAAGGTTGATAAAGCAGTTTTATGTTGCATAGCATAAAGCAGTTTTCGTTGCATAAAGCAGTTTTCGTTTATCTTGAGAAAGAGTCTCACTGTTACCCAGGCTAGAGTGCAGTGGCGTGGTCTCGGCTCACTACAGCCTCTGCCTCCTGGGCTTAAGCAATCCTCCAGCCACAGCCTCCGAAGTAGCAGGGATGACAGGCACGTGCCACCACACCTGGCTAATTTTTTGTTATTTTATTTATTTATTTATTTATTTAGAGATGGGGTTTCGCCATGTCGCCCAGGATGATCTTGAACTTCTGGACTCAAGTGATCCACCCACTTCAGCCTCCCAAAGCACTGGGGTTACAGGATTGAGCCACTGCACCCAATATAATAACATTAAGTAATAACCTTATTATTAAATAATTAATCTTATTAAAATTCATTTAATTATTCTTTCTTATTTATGAGACGGAGTCTCGCTGTGTTGCCCAGACTGGAGTGCAATGGCACGACCTCAGCGCACTGCAACTTCTGCCTCCCAGGTTCAAGCAATTCTCCTGCCTTAGCCTTCTGAGTAGCTGGGATTACAGGTGCCTGCCACCACACCTGGCTAATTTTTGTACTTTCAGTAGAAATAGGGTTTCACTATATTGGCCAGGCTGGTCTTGAACTTCTGACCTCGTGGTTCGCCCACCTTGGCCTCCCAAAGTGTTGGGATTACAGGTGTGAGCCACCGTGCCCGGACTATTTTTTGTTTTTTCTTGAGATGGAGTTTTGCTCTTACTGCCCAGGCTGGAGTGCAGTGGCGCTATCTTGGCTCACTGCAACCTCTGCCTCCCAAGATAAGTGATTCTCCTGCCTCAGCCTCCTGAGTAGCTGGAATTATAGGGGCATGCCACCATGCCCAGCTAAGTTTTTGTATTTTTAGTAGAGATGGGGTTTCACCATCTTGGCCAGGCTGGTCTCTAACTCCTAACCTCAGATGATCTGCCCGCCTCGGCCTCTCAAAGTACTGGGATTACAGGCATGAGCCACTGTGCCCGGATATTTATTTGTTTCATTTATTGATTTATTTTATTTATTTACTTATTTATTTTTGAGACGGAATCTTGCCCTGTTGTCCAGGCTGGAGTGCAATGATGCGATCTCGGCTTACTGGAACCTCTGCCTCCTGGGTTCAAACGATTCTCCTAGCCCCACCCTCCTGAGTAGCTGGGATTACAGGTGCGCACTACCAAGCCCAGCTACTTTTTTGTATCTTTAGTAGAGATGGGGTTTCACCATGTTGGCCAGGCTGGTCTCAAACTCCTGACCTTGTGATCCACCCACCTTGGCCTCTCAAAGTGGTAAGATTACAGGCATGAGTCACCACACCCGGCCTTATTTATTTATTTTTAAATGGAATCTCACTCTGTCTCCCAGGCTGGAGTACAGTGGCGTGATCTTGGCTGACTGTAACCTCTACCTCCCCCATCCAAGGGATCCTCCCACCTCAGCCTCCTGAGTAGCAGGGATTACAGGTGTGCACCACCATGCCTGGCTAATTGTTTTGTATTTTTAGTGGAAACGGTTTCACCATGTGGGCCAGGCTGGTCTCGAATCCCTGACCTCGGGTGTTCACCTGCCTCAGCTTCCCATAGTGCTGGGATTATAGGTGTAAGCCACCATGCCTGGCCTCGTTTATTTTTAATTTCAGTGTATGTGGTAGTCCCACTGTGTGAGTGTACCATAGTTTATATATGCAGTTCACTGTGGGTGGATTTTTGCACTATTTCCCACTTCACAGTCTTTTTAGCTGCGATACCAAAGTCCAGAGAGCTCTGGAAACAAAAATGTTTCATGATCCATTTGGCACAAAGTCTGACCCAGACTGATGTGAGGTCGTTTATATGGTGTCTGCTGGTCCCGCAGTAATGTGGCTGTTGGCAGGACTGTGCCTGGAGTGTTCTCTTATGTGTTGTATGTGCGTTGTTTTCCTGGTCTGAACTCAGGAAAATTCTGAATTCCAAAACACAAGGGCCCCAGGAGTTGTGGACCTGGGACTGCCTCTTGGCTTAGGGTGTGATAAAGCATAGAAATGGCTTATCTTCTTTCCTTTCTCTTTTCGTGTAAATACCTTGAGGGCCGGTTAAAGACTAATCTCTGATTACACTGTAAATGCTGTTAACACACCTTTGAAAGGCCCCTTGCCAGAGCTAGGTCCAGCTGCCTCAGAGGGCAAGGAGATATGAATGGCCCTGGCATCTTTCCTGGCTTTCTCCTTGGTTCAGACGGAGCTTAGCTGTGATAGCTGACTCTTCCCCTAGGAGCCCTGGGTGGGTTTCTGTGGCTCTGTGGAGGCCCTGGGATCACCTCCAAAATCAAAGGTGTGCCTTTTTCTGAGGTCAGTGACCAAGATACCCCCTGTAGAGCCTTGAGGGGGCCATGACCCCTCAAGCCCAGGACTTGAGCCTGAGCTAGGAAGAGCCACAGAGACCTTGGTCCCCCGGCCCCCACTATTAATTTCAACTTGTTGAAAGCAAGTTTGTTTTCATATTATAAAATGCAAATATACCAAAGGGTGCAGATGGAACGGTCATGTTCCCTCTGCCCTGTCCTCTTGCTCCTGGTGGTGTGGAACCTCGGTGCCCCTCCCGAGAGAACCCAGGCCTACGTGGGCACTTGCGTGGATCTCTTCCCTTCTTGCAGAGGTGACAAGCTACTGCTCCAGGCTGTTAATACCAGCGTGAGGTTTTACGGTCAGAAATACTGACACATTTCAAACTGAATACTAAGACCTCCTTCATTGTGATTTAACTAATGTGGTTTTCTTGGCCATGTTACTTTAGATTTTAGTTGTAGAGAAATTATAGGCAGGGCTCCGGGATGCCAGGTGATGCCCACGGTGGCTGTGGTGCTTGCAGCTGCCATTTCCTCTTTTATTTGGATTGAGATGGAGCTCCTACAGTGTGCAGTCCTCCTCATACCGCACAGTTCAGCGGCATTCGGCCCATTCACAGTGCTGTGCGACCACCTCTGTCCAGCTTCAGAACTCCTTCATCGCCCCAGAGAGAAAACCCATAGCCTTCAGGTGTTCCCTCTCCATGCCTCCCTCCTCCCCCGGCAACCCATAATCCACTCTCTGTCTGTCTGGATTTGCCGGTTCTGGATGATTCATGTGGACGGAATCCCAGGCCGTGTGGCCTACTGTGTATCTGTCGCTGAACGCAGTCCCTCCGCAGCGGGTCCCCGTCACAGCACGAGCCGTCCCTCCGCGGCGGGTCCCCGTCACAGCACGGGGCCGTCCCTCCGCGGCGGGTCCCCGTCACAGCACGGGGCCGTCACTCCGCGGCTGGTCCCCGTCACAGCATGGGGCCGTGTCGTACTCGGTGGGGACAGGTGGGTTGTGGGACTTGCACCCAGTCAGCCGCCCCAGGGCCTGGGCCGTCTCCAGCCCACCTTGCGGTGCCTGCCCAGCGTGCTGACCGCCCAGCGTGCTGACCGGGCGTCCCTGTGCCCGCCCGCAGGCCATGACGCTGATGGAGTACCTCATCAAGACCGGCTCGGAGCGCGTGTCACAGCAGTGCAAGGAGAACATGTATGCCGTGCAGACGCTGAAGGACTTCCAGTACGTGGACCGCGACGGCAAGGACCAGGGCGTGAACGTGCGCGAGAAAGCCAAGCAGCTGGTGGCTCTGCTGCGCGACGAGGACCGGCTGCGGGAGGAGCGGGCACATGCACTCAAGACCAAGGAAAAGCTGGCACAGACCGCCACAGGTGAGCCCTCCCTGCGGTCCCTGACGGCCTAGAGTCTGTCCTCTGCCTGCTGCGGCTCCCAGCACCCAGCCGCCTGCTTCCCTGTCTCCCGGCCAGGAGCAACTGAGGCATCCCCCTTTTCCTCCCCTCACCTGGGACCCTTGCTCTGGTCTCACTTGCGCCCTTTTTTCCCTTAGCACCTCCCATGCAGCAGCTCTGGGGCCCTTCCTGCCTCTTGCCTTGTGCCCCAGGGCAGGTCTAGAACTGGGAACTTTTATTCCACTTCCCCATAGGCTCAGGGCCTGAGGGCGGTCAGTGCTGGGGACAGGGCTCTGAGGGGACAGTCACACAGTGACTCCCGAGGATGCCGTGCTTCTGTCTGCGCCGAGATAAGAGGCAGAGGGTGGCCTGGAAGGGGCACAGAAGGAAGGCCAGAGCCAGGGCCTGCAGGTTGCACCAGGCATCTGGGCCTGCGTTAGGAGCCTTGACAATGCCTTCCGGAGGTGGAGGACTCAGTCTGGTGGGTGGTTACCAGCCCTGAAAACAAAACTTGAAATAGTGCCTCCCACATCGTCAGGCCAAGATCTGCCCCACGAAACATTTCCAGTTATGTGATGGGTGTGTGGGCCTTGGACTGTGCCGGAAAGTGTGAGCTGTGCTGGTCGCGGGCTCACAGCTGCGCAGAGACTAGTCCTGCTGCTCAGGACTGGGAGGGAGGCTGGAGAATGTCTGCGAGGCTCTTCTGCTCTCCAGGAAGAGTGGAGGTGCCTCAGTTAGTGGGGGTGCGTGAGATGGGGAGGGGCCGCTAGAGCACTGCCCTGGAGATGGAGGTGGGTCCGCCAGGCCGGCGCAGACAGCACGAAGGGCCTGTGGCCCCCATGGGGTCCGGCTCGAGGGACTGGACTTGTGTGGGGAGTCAGGCCTTCTGTGTGGACAGGTCTCATTTGGGATCACTGTTCAGCACCCACGGGGATACATGGGTGCGATGGGGTGTGTACGGCCCTGCCCAGAACTCCAGAGGAAGGACCCAGGAGCTGGTAGACGGCGTGAAAGCAGAGTGTGAAGTGGAGGGGAAGAAGCTGGCGTGGCGTGGGAGTGCTCAGAGCCAGGGACACCAGGAGGGAGTGTGGGTGGCAGAGAGGGGCTGGTTAGCTTGAGGCAGACAGGTGGGCGGCGGGGTTGGGGTGGACTGAGGAGGGACGTTGGCAGGAGCTGGGAGGAGAGCGGGAGCCTCAGGGAAGAGGCCTGAGGGTGGGAGATCCTGGCTTGGGGGTGGTCAGACTCTGTGCAGGGCCAGAGCCAGTGTCCTCTGCGTTGCTGGCCACGCCTTCCCATCCCAGCTGCCTGGCCCTGTCTGCCAGCAGTTGCTGGGAAGCGGTTGCGCCCCTCTGACACTCACCAAGGACTCCGGAATGTGAATTTCATGTAGTTTTCACGTGTCTTTTGAAGACTTTTCAGTTGTTATTTAATTTTTTAAGGATACTCGAGTTTTCGCCCATCTTGGTGCATTCTTTTCATTGTTTCCCATCATTGAAAAATGTAAAGGCCTTTCTTAGACCTTCTCAGGCCAGCTGTGGCTGCCACTGTGGTGTGCTGGCCCCTGTCCTGGAGCGAGCTATGTGGAGGGCTGTGGCTGGGGAGGAGGTTGGGGGCAGCTAGGGAGTGCACCCCGAGACCCCCAGTAGGCGGGGAAGGGCCTGTGGTCCCCGGGCAGCACTGAGGCTGGGTGATCCGGTGATGGGAAGGTCCGGGTGTTGCTGGCTGGGTGCCCATATTACCTGTAATGTGGGAGGTGCGGCCCTCAGGGCTGCTGGGCATTGGATTTAGCCACTACTGGGCTGGGGGGGTTGGGGCATTTGCAAGGTAGAGGTTGGGCAATGGGGTGTCGATTCCCAGCACCCACCATTGAGAGTCCCCAGAGCTTAGGAGGAAGTCGCAGAGGCAGGGAAGAGGAGGAGGGGCCACAAGAGTGTGGTCCTCTCTGTGCCCCGGCCTCACCTGTGCCCCACGCTGCCCTTCTATCTGCCCGTCCTCCTAGACGGCCACTTACCCACCCAAGTCCTTCAACCGCTGCTAGTTCTCGCATCCTTTCTTCACTCATAAGCCCGGATGGCCACCCTTTGGCCCCGCTCTGCCGCCCACGTGCTCCCTGGGCATACCATGCACCCAGTCCTGGGCACACTGCACGGGGGCCAGCCTGGGGGCCCCTGAACCTGGTGTGGGTGGGGCCGCCAGACAGCTGTCTGCTGCAGCTCCGGGCGAGGGGAGCCAGGGCCTGCTCGTCAGGGAGAGGCCTGGGCCTGGGGAGTGGGTTGGGTGGGGACAGCAGTATAGAGCACAGGTGCCAGGCGTCTTGGAGCTGGATCGGACAGAACTTGCTGACGAGTGCACAGTGGTGGGGAGGGCGGGGCAGGAGACGCAAGGTCCACCCTGGGGCTTTGGAGGCTGGGGCGATGGCCCCGCGCTCGACGGGCCTGGAGCCTGGTTGGAGCCTGTTCTCTGCACTGTGGAGGGGGCCTAGGGTCCACAGGCCTTGAGGGTGGAGAGAACAGTGTCAGGACAGAGTTTGAGGGTAGGCGGGGTCACAGAGGATACTGCAGTGGAGGCCGGGGATATCTCAGCACCGTCCTGGAGGGTCCGGCCGTGCTTTCCTGTGTCCTCTCTCCCCCTCCCCCTCCTGCTCCTGGAACCAAGGACTCCTTCCTGGCCCACTCCCCAGCCCTGACCAGGCCTTGGATCCTGCCGTCTCAACAGACGCTGTTCTCCCACTCTGAATTCCAGTTGTTCCCTGCCAGAGCTACCATTCTCCACAAGCCCTGGAAACAGAGGCCTGGGAGACCCGGGAGGAAGGACCTCCCATCCCCCAGGGGCCCAGCGACAGACCCCAGGCACGCGGGGAGTCCTGGTGGTGGCAGGGCTCAGAGGTTCCTGGGGTTCCCCATCTGCTTATCAGATTGACTTTTGCTCTGGTCCTTCCCTGATGCCTGGCCCCTCCCATGGGTGGGGCTGCCTGCATCCTCCCCTCCCCCCGGGGGACCCTGCATCCCCACCCTTTCTCCTCTGAGCACCTGGTGTCTGGTCTCTGCCTCTCGGTCCTAGTCTTGGCCTTCAGAGGCTGGAGGGTGGGGGACTTGGAGGGTGGGGTTGGACACAGAAGCCCCCATCTGTCTAGGCTGTGGGGTTTCCTGTCTCGTTCCCTGGTCTGGGTCTCACGCGTTTCTCCCCCGCCCTCCAGCCTCATCAGCAGCTGTGGGCTCGGGCCCCCCTCCTGATGCGGAACAGGCATGGCCACAGAGCAGTGGGGAGGAGGAGCTGCAGCTCCAGCTGGCCCTGGCCATGAGCAAGGAGGAGGCTGACCAGGTACCGGGCGTGCAGCTGGGGCTGTCTGTCCGCCACCCGCCTCCACGTCTCACCTCAGGCTGCCTCCCAGCCAGACCCAGGCCTGGCCCTCACTGTCGCTGCTCCACGTGCTGTCACTCGTCTCCTCCCCAGTCCTGCCTCATCCTCACCCCCGTCCCTCTGCGTGTCACTCTCTGCCTGTCCCTCACTGGTTCAGGGACCCCAAGCCCTCTCTTTCTTTGACCCTATCTGACTCTGGCTCTACCTCTGCCTCTGCCTCTGGCCCCTCCCACCATGCCCCTCACACTCTCTCTCCCCCAGCCCCCATCCTGCGGCCCCGAGGACGACGCCCAGCTCCAGCTGGCCCTTAGTTTGAGCCGAGAAGAGCATGATAAGGTCAGAGCAGCCTCCCTGTCCCTGCCCCTGCCGGGGACTCCCCTCAGACCAGCCCCATCGCCCCTTCCTAAGTCACCCCCACCATCCTGCTGGGCTGGAAAGCCCACAGGCTCACACGTGTTGAAACCTCAGTACCTTCAGCTGTAGGATGTAGGACCTCAGGTCAGACAGAGCCTGGGTGGCGGCCAGTGCAGCCGTGCCAAGGTTGCTTGGGTGACCAGGGTCCCTTCCTCCCCCCAACGCAGGAGATACCACTGAGGCGGGTGCCTGTCCTCCCTGGGTGCCCCAGCACAGCACCCCACTCCCCTCATCCCCGTGTCCCACCCGACCTTTGACCCAGGTGCCCCATCCACATTTCATACATTGTCCGCATCCCATCGAATCCTTCAGCTGCCTTCATTGGGGTGGGAGGGGTTGCTGGGGCTTCCGGGCTGAGGTGGCATCTGCCTACGGCTCACGTTCTCATGTCTCCCTGGCCGCTGCCTGTGCCCCAACAGGAGGAGCGGATCCGTCGCGGGGATGACTTGCGGCTGCAGATGGCGATTGAGGAGAGCAAGAGAGAGACCGGGGGCAAGGAGGAGGTGAGCGGGGCTTGCTCTGCCCTCCCTGGCCCCTGCAGGTGTCCGTCCGTTCCATCGCTCATTCCTGCATGGCCAGGTCCCTGGAGCAGAGGCTGAAACACAAGGTCCTGGAGCTGGCCACTGGGTTTCCAGGCCCGGTTGGCCTCTCACTGCCTCTTCCTCCCTGCTGGGCTGAGGCTGGTGACTGACCAGGCTGCCCTGCGGCCACTTTCTGTGGTCAGCACTGGCCATCCCTCCTCGGGCCGAGCACCATGAGGGCCACCCCCACCCGCCACAGCTGAATGGGGAGGCCCATAATAGGTCAACAGCCTGACATGGCCACAGGAAGGAGGGTGCAGGGCTCGCCCATCTGTTACACTTTCTTCGGCACCTCCTTGGTGCCATGCCGTGTGCTGCACACCAGGGTCTGTTGGTGAGCGATGAGGCATGGTCCCGCCCTTGCAGACAGTGTTTCTGGGGCATTCCTGTGCTCTGCAGCTGAGTAGCAAACCCTCCCACAACTTTGCGCTTTCAGGTCACGCTTCAGTACTTCTCTGTGATGGGGCCCTGCTGGCTGGTTTTGTTTCGTGTCAGAGCTGAGGTCACTCACGCCTCTGGGACCAGGGCGTCCACACTGGCCTTGCCCTCCAGCCTCCTCCCCTGGCCTCTTCCCAGTTACTAGTCTGTCCCGAGTGTCCTCACAGCACAGTAGCCGCTGCTGCCCCCGCCCAGGGCAGGCTCATCGAGCTGGGTTGGAGTTGGCTCCCCAGCCTGTGCACTGCTGTTGGTCTCAGCAGGTCCTGAGGCCAGCCCAGGTTTGAGGGGTGGGGACAAGGCCCCCTCTCCATGGGAGGCGGCAGACAGCTTGTGGCCATAAGTGATAGGCCCAGCGGGACTTTCTTGGTAGATGGAAAGCCTCTTTATGTTGGCCTCAGCCAAGGGGTCTTTACCAGTGTCCCCTACAGCTCAATGACCCCAGTAAGGGCTGCCCCATTGGAGGAGCACCGGATCTCACCCATCTCTTCTTCTGCCCTGGACTCAGCTCTTCTTCCCCTCCCACCCCCCCGGGGTCTTTGCTTCACGGTGCTGACTGGAGATGTGTGCATGAGTCTGTGGGGGACACTTGCACTTTCCGAGACGGGCTCTGGTTAGCTGGGCCCGTCGTGTGGCACCTCCAGAACACAGGACCTTGCGGCGTGTGCGTGCGGCATGGGAAGGCCTGCAGTGCGATGACTGTGGGGTGACGGCAGGGCAATGTAGGGGGCATCATGAGAGGTGCTCAGGGTGACCTGAGTGGGGTTCAGGGGGCCTTCCCCGGGGAAGGCATGGTGCAGGGACTGGCGGGGCTGACTGAAGAAGGCACGGTGGGCAGAGGGAGGAGTGAGCTGCTTTGGGTTGAGTGAGGGGAGGGCTTGGCCTCCATCCTCAGTCAGGGCTGGGCAAGGACCTGGGAGCAGGTGGGGTTAAGGGGCTGCCCTGCTGTGGTGCGCAGAATGGATGTGGGGCAGGGGTGTGGCCTGTTTTGGGGCTCCCTGGGGTGGGGGAGGTGGGCAGGGGTGGGCTGACCCTAGGACGTACGAGGAGGGAGGGTGGGTGGTGTGTTTGGGGCCTGCCTGCCTCTTACTCCTTACGGATGGCTGCTGTCTGGACACCCAGGGCTTGGCCACCTCCCCAGTGACGGGCCCCAGCTTGGTCCCTGTCCCGGGCTTCCCACCACTTCTTCATGCTCCTCCTCTTCTTTCTCCCCCACAGTCGTCCCTCATGGACCTTGCTGACGTCTTCACGGCCCCAGCTCCTCCCCCGACCACAGACCCCTGGGGGGGCCCAGCACCCATGGCTGCTGCTGTCCCCACGGCTGCCCCCACCTCAGACCCCTGGGGCGGCCCCCCTGTCCCTCCGGCTGCTGATCCCTGGGGAGGTCCAGCCCCCACGCCGGCCTCTGGGGACCCCTGGAGGCCTGCTGCCCCTGCAGGACCCTCAGTTGACCCTTGGGGTGGGACCCCAGCCCCTGCAGCTGGGGAGGGGCCCACGCCGGATCCATGGGGAAGTTCCGATGGTGAGTGCGTGGCCTGCTTGCGTGCGGCCTCTGTGCCTGTGTGCACCTGTCCTTGGTTGGCTGTGCCCTTGGACAGGGACAGATGCAGCCAAGTGGCGCCGGGCAGTGGTGGGGCCGTCCTGGGTACAGGGGAGGGGGCAAGGGAGGGAGTCAGATGAGACAGCCCAGGACAGGGTGTGTGAGATTGTGCCTTGGAGGACATGGGGGTGTGCTATGGGGAGCAACTCAGCCAAGGGGCACAGAGGCTGCGGCCAGGGCAGAGCCTGTGCGATGTAGGCATCTGTGAAGGGCGGTGGGTGGAGCTGGGAGGTGCGGGTGGAGAAGGGCCTGACACCCAGCTGGACAGGGGAGGGGTGGGGGAGCTGTGGGGGGCTGGGTAGATCTGGCAGAGGCTGCGGGGAAGCCCCTCACCCCAGCTGGGGTCCCAGGGCCAGAGCCTGGCAGTGATGCCCAGTTGGAATTTGAGTTTGTGTGCAGGAGAGCGGGAGCAAGGGAGCTTTTGTGTGAATAGCCACAGATTCAGAGGCAATGGCCCCCCCCGGCCATCTGGGCAGTCAAGGTTGCCAGCTCCTCATGCTCTTGTGTCCTCACCCAGGTGGGGTCCCGGTCAGTGGACCCTCGGCCTCCGATCCCTGGACACCGGCTCCAGCCTTCTCAGATCCCTGGGGAGGGTCACCTGCCAAACCCAGCACCAATGGCACCACAGGTACTGCAGTGGGGGTGGGAACGGAGCCCCCGGCGGGAGTGAGTGGGAGATGTTAGAGTCGAGCATCCCAAGGAAGGGTGGATGCCTGGACTGGAGGTGGGAGCTGAGGCGGAGCCCCAGGGAGGGGCTGAGCAGAGCATCCTGACCCCACAGCCACCGGGGGATTCGACATGGAGCCTGACGAGTTCTCTGACTTCGACCGACTCCGCACGGCACTGCCGACCTCTGGGAGCAGCGCGGGTGAGCCCCTGCCTTTCTTCCCAGCAGCCCGAGGGAGCCCCATTCCCGGCTGTCTCTGTCCCACTCCAGACAGGGCCGGCTGGACTTAAGGATGAAAAGTTGACTTGGGTAGAGTGGGCCAGAACCATCCACCTGTCTTTAAAAGAAGTGTGCATCTTGATTTTAGAGAAATTGCAGATTTAGAGAGAAACAATTCTTCTCAAGGTTTCCCACCCAAATGTCGACCTCTGACCCGTCTCTGCCTCCACATCGCTTGAGTGCCTTGCAGACTCTTCAAGTGTGTCAAAGAACAGGGACTGTCTTGTCCTGTGCAGTGAGATGCATGGATGGGTTTGGAAGGCAGCCGAGGCTCCCCTTCCAGGTCCCCACTCGCCTGCTGGTGGCTCCAGGGCTGGCCAGGGTGCGTCCTCGTGGGTGCTGCCTTTAGCTGCCCTGGCTCCTTGGGGTTTTCAGCTGGTGTAAGCCGGCACGTGCCGCCTGTGACGGGCCCATCTGCTGAGTCCCTGAGTGGCTACTCCATCAGGAGTGTCCGAGGTCACCATGGCCCTCAGCTGGCACCTCTCTGTCCCATGATGAGTCATGTCAGCCTGATCTCTTGGTTTTTTTGTTTAAGTGAGCTGTTATTGAGGCACAGGTTGTGGTACAGAAACCTGTTTCCCCTGATGAAAGGCCTGCGGCTAGCGGGGAGTGAGCTGCGCCCGCACTCCCCTCCTCTCATTATCTAGGTTAACATAGAGCAGTCTTCCAGCCTGCAGTTTTCCTTCTTTTAGGCCTTTTTTTGTCCCATACAAATGTGTGCATTTTTTCAACAGTAGAATTGTTAAATCTATTTAAAAAGAAAATCAGGCCAGGCGCAGTGGCTTGCGCCTGTAATCCCAGCACTTTGGAAGATCGAGGTGGGCAGATCACCTGAGGTCAGGAGTTCAAGACCAGCCTGACCAACATGGCCGAAACCCCGTCTCTACTAAAAACACAAAATTAGCCGGGCGTGGTGGCACACGCCTGTAATCCCAGCTACTCGGGAGGCTGAGGCAGGAGAATCGCTTGAACCCAGGAGGTGGAAGTTGCAGTGAGCTGAGGTGCCATTGCACTCCATCCGGGGAAACGAGCGAAACTCCATCAAAAAAAAACAAAGACCTCCAGCCAACAGACGTCTTCACGCCGGCCCGGAACACGTGTCTGCGCTCTCCGTCCACTTGGAAGCTCCCGCTGGGGCTGTGTACTCAAGGAGCGTCTGAGGGCAGGCTTCTCTGAGCCTGGAGGCCCCTGTGAACAGGCCCCTGCTGCCTTCCCCTGTGGGCCTAGAGACCCTGGACAGCCCCTCCCTGAAGCAGTTGCTGCCTTGTGGTTGTCAGAGGGTGACACCTGCTTTCGTCATCCCTCTTGCGTTTGCTCACTGGAATCAGACCCACCTTGTGGGAATCTGGGCTGACATGCAAGCTTTTGGCCTGGGCAGGCGTTGCTCTGCTCTGCACCTCAGTTCCGCTTTCCTGAGGCTTCTGGGCACCGGGCTCTTTGAAGCGCCCCCTATGATGGCCTATACTGCTCCCAGGTTGGAGCCTTGCTGCTATCTGCCCTGTCTGAGCCCCTCTCCCCGCTCCTTCCAGGAGAGCTGGAGCTGCTGGCAGGAGAGGTGCCGGCCCGAAGCCCTGGGGCATTTGACATGAGTGGGGTCAGGGGATCTCTGGCTGAGGCTGTGGGCAGCCCCCCACCTGCAGCCACACCAACTCCCACGCCCCCCACCCGGAAGACGCCGGAGTCATTCCTGGGGCCCAATGCAGCCCTCGTCGACCTGGACTCGCTGGTGAGCCGGCCGGGCCCCACGCCGTCTGGAGCCAAGGCCTCCAACCCCTTCCTGCCAGGCGGTGAGTGTGGGCCCATCACCTGCCCAAGTCCTCCCTGTGGGTTCCAGCAGAGCAGGTGCCTCACAGGGCAGGGACGCTTCGCCCCTCGCCTGCACGTGCTGAATGGACACAGGTGGGCCGCGCCACTGACTGCACTGCGTGTCTCTGGTCTGCTCTTCCTGCAGGAGGCCCAGCCACTGGCCCCTCCGTCACGAACCCCTTCCAGCCCGCGCCCCCTGCAACGCTCACCCTGAACCAGCTCCGTCTCAGTCCTGTGCCTCCTGTCCCTGGAGCGCCACCCACGTACATCTCTCCCCTTGGCGGGGGCCCTGGCCTACCCCCCATGATGCCCCCAGGTCCCCCGGCCCCCAACACTAACCCCTTCCTCCTATAATCCAGGGCGGAAGGGGGCCTGGCTCCATCCAGCTGCCCCATTCTGGCTCCCTGGGAGATCAGTGTTGTGAGTGCATGTGAAATGGGGGATCCCTGCCCCCAGTGCCCTTCCCCCTCCTGGGGCCCACTCACACTACACCCTCTTCCTTTCCCACCCCACCTCCCTGGAGAGAAACTGGACATGGGGCCTGGGGAGGGGAGCTGGCCAGAGGAGGACCCCTTTCCCGTGGCATTAGAAGGGGGAGGGGCGGCTGGGGCCCCCACCCATTCCCCCTCCCTCCAAACTCTCAACCCCCAGTCAGTGTTTGAGCCTCCTTGTTCCCCTCACGCACCCCCTCATGCACCCTCGGTGAATCCTTGGTGATGATTTTGGCAACTTTGGGAATAAATGGCAATTCCCACGGGCTTGGCTCCCCCAGCTTCCCATCTGTGATTTCGCGTGTCCCCCAGAGCCCTTCATCCAGGGACCCGGGGCTCAGGTCCCATCTCTCTCTCGAGGGTGGCTGGGAACCAGCCGTTCTGCCTCAGAAGTCCTGATTTCCCTGATCCTCCCGGGTCAAGGGGTGGCTGGGTTGAGGGTGGACGGCGCGAGGCCTGGCAGAGCTGTAGCCCACGCAGGTCCAGGTGGTCAGGCGGCCACTCGTGGCCAGACGCTCCCAGTGCAGGAGGCCTCGCTCTTGTGTTGAGGGAACACTAGGATGAGGTCAGAGTGCACTGGGGTTCAGGGAGAAGAAGAATCCTGAGGGATGGCACATACGCAACACAGATCACCATCGCCATCACCTGGGCCCCCCGCAAGCATCACTAATCCATCCCTGCACTCCCGGAAACCGCGTCAGCCTCTGTCGGCTGAGCTGAGTGAACCACCAGGCACCTCCTGGTTGTCGTCTGTGTGCCGTTGTCCTGGGCTGGACCACACCTGATGGGATCATCCCAGAGAAGCCTCGGGCCGCCTTGTGAGGGGGTGTTGCTGTTATCTCCAGGGGTAGGTGACAGCTTGTTTCAGGCCCCACAGCCAGGGCCTCAGTGATGGGGATCTGGCTGTGTCTGTTTTAAGTGGAACAGGCCGTTCTTCCATGTGGAGTCTCCCTCCATGATCCCCTGGGGTCAAGTCCTGACGGCTGGGTTCGCTCCCTCAGTGACTCTGACAGCTCTTGTCTCAGAGGTGCTGGGGTGCAGGCTGTCCTGGGGTGCAGGCTCTGCTGGGGTGCAGGCTGTGTGGGGTGCAGGCTCTGCTGGGGTGCAGGCTGTGCGGGGTGCAGGCTGTGCTGGGGTGCGGGCTGTGCTGGGGTGCGGGCTGTGCTGGGGTGCGGGCTGTGCTGGGGTGCGGGCTCTGCTGGGGTGCGGGCTCTGCTGGGGTGCGGGCTCTGCTGGGGTGCGGGCTGTGCGGGGTACGGGCTGTGCGGGGGTGCGGGCTGTAGGCTGTGTGGGGCCAGACCCCTGGAGTCAGACGACTTCTTGCCCCTTCTGCCCGGAGATGCTTTGGGCTCAGCGTGGGGCCAGATAGCTGTGTCGCAGGGACACTTGCTGCTGTGGGTTGGGGTCCAGGGAGCACCCAGCCAGTGGAGGGTTGGAGGCCCTGAGGGGGACGTGACTGCGGTGTCCAAGCGGCCTGGTGGCCACCCTGTGTGCCCCCTCCCTGGTGGACCCACGTCACCTGGGGATTGCTGAGCAAAAGAAGTGCCATTGGGGGTGACGTGAGGTTGGGGTTCTGTTACTTGCTGTGAATTGGGTCATGACCTGTGTCGGACCGTTCTGTGGCCTCCACTTGCCGCTGCAGACCAGGGTGTCTGGAGGGTTGTGGGGGGCTTGATGGAGGAATTGCTGACCACACCGTGCAGGAAGGGGTGGGGCCCAGGGACACAGGAACTTTGGGGTCAGCTGGTTACAGGTTCAGTTGCAGAGGAGCATCTCCCTTCCTTAGCCAGGGAGGGGAAGCCCTCTTCTCACACGTGGCCCGGGTATGTTGTGGGGGAGTCACTTCCCGGGACGGGGTGCCGTTCCTGGGCAGCAGCAAGCGTCCCTTACGCTTGGGCTCTCCGAGACCCTGCTGCTCTAGGCAGATGTGATGGGGGAGCCCCCCAGGGCATGGAGAGCCAGCCAAAGGCAGCTCTGAGTAGGATTCCAGGGAAAGGGGAGGTGAGCCCCGCTCTTGGCGATCTTGGTCTCCCCACGGGGTCGTAGCTCCTCGGCTCCTCACTTGTCAGACCCTCCATTCACCAAGTTAAGGATAAGTTTCACGATTTCACAGTGCCGTGCCTTCACTCCCTTTCTCTTCAGAAAAGCTGAGGAGGAGGAAGATAAAATGATACATTTGGGCTTAGTCCAGTGGAAGGGTTAAAGGTGTAAGGCTTCAGTTCTCCCCACCATTTCCTCATTTGGCAAAACAAGACTATTGAAAACACAAGACAAAAACCCAGAGGCTTGCACATAAATTCGGGGCTTATTTACAGCATCCTCGGCATCTTCCTTTCCCTACAGTGCGAATTACCAAGTAGCACCACGGATCTCATGTCTCCTACTTTATTCCTCTTTCCAGAATATTCCAGCCACCAAAGTGCTCAGCAGGAGGAGGCCCAAGCACCTGGGCTTAGCAACACGCAGGGTTGAATGCTGGGAGCCCGCTGTTGTCCCTGATTGAGGGTTCATCCCACTGTATTTGTGTCCCTCTTTCTACAGCAAATGCGTCTCTGTCCCCAGGGTGGGATGGCGAGCTTGTTAAATGGCCATAAGGAAGACTTTATTCAGGACCATCGAGATAGGTACAGGTACCATCAGTGGATGGAAAATCACTAAGAGCAAACCTCAGGGGTCCGGGGGGTTTTGGCTAAACCCACCTAGCAGGATTCTTGCTGAAGGCAGGCCAGGGTGATCAGAGGTCACCTGGGGATGGTGGAGGCTGAAGACAACGATCAGATGTGAGGGTGGTGGGGGTTGTGGGGGACAGCGGCGGGGTTCGTTTGCAGAAAGGATTTTACAAGGACGTGCACAGATGGGCCTAGGAGGAGGTTCAGAATTCTCAGGTCTGGCCTGAGTCGTGTTGCGCCCGGCCACCTCTCCAGAGGAGCAGATGTGCCTCTGAACCCGCGTCTCCCCCCAGGGGGCTGAAGTGGAAAAAACCGCACAGAACTTTCCCCTGGGACAGGTGAAGCGGATGGGGCGTGGGGCATTCCTGGGTCTTGACTCCATTCAGGGCCTAGGGGCTGGGTGGGGAAGGCACTTGAGGGAACCTCCCTGGAGCCTGAGGGAGCTTCAGCCAACTCGTAGGTCACCCCACCCACCAGAGTCCAGGCCCGCCAGAGTCCCCTCACACCTGTGCTCACCCTACCCTTACCCCTCGCTCTACTCTTGCCCCCCACCCTATTCTCGCTCCCCGCCCTACCCCTGCCCCTCTCTCGAGCTGCGATGCCAGCCTCAGGGCTTTCAGTCCTGCCTTGATCTGTGTTTTATACTGAAACTCAATTTTACACACACAAACCCTCTCCCAGCCAGCCTCTGCCTTTTCCTCATGTTCTCATTGAATAGAAAGAAATGCATTTTTTTTTTTTTTCCCTGAGACAAGAGTCTTGCTGTGTTGCCCAGGCGTTTTTTTTTTTTTTTTTTTTGTTTTGTTTTGTATTTTTAGTACAGATGGGGTTTCACCATGTTAGCCAGAATGGTCTCGATCTGATCGCCCTCAGCCTCCCAAAGTGCTAGGATTACAGGCGTGAGCCACTGTGCCCAGCCCCCACCCCATTCTCTGATCCTGCAGGCAGGCCCTTAGTTTGTGCTGCTCTGCACTGCTTATGTGTGTGTGCTAAAAGGTGAGGGAGAGTGTCTGTGCCCATTCCCAGGCACCTTCTTGCAGCTGCAGCCATCTCCCCCATGCACGCTTCCAGCTTCCCTATCTTAGTGTGCCTAAAGAAAAGGAATATGCTTCAGGCCGACTATTTTTATTGGGGACCATCGTATGTATGTGGCTTGGTGATTACCCAGGAACCTCCCAAGTCTATGTCCTGAGTTGCTAATCTGTTTTACAGCCTGAAAGATCAGGCTGCTCTTTGTTAGAAATGATTTCTTTGAACTGGGTGGTGTGGTTAGAAAGGGAGCAATTTCTAAGCTGCTTTTTGCTGGGGACTCTCTTCACCTTATCTACCTAAATGATTTATTTCTGTTTCTTACATCTATTGGGTATTGATTTCAAGTAGAATGAGTGAATGCATTCATTCCTCTAAGCCGTATTGACTCCATTGTTTCTTTCACTAATAGCAGATTATCTCCTTTGGCCCTGCATCCTCTCTGGCTGGGCAGCTCCGGGCCAGCCATAGATGGAGGGGAGGACGTGTGTGTGGCCATGTGTGTGTTTCTGTCCTGGACAACAGTATCCTGAGGGGCCTAAGTGGGAAGTGCCCTCAACCAAGGAGATTCCTGCTGTGTGTGTGTGATGTGTGTGTGTGTTGTGTGCGGTTGGGACAGTCGGGGATTCTCACTTTTTTTTTTTTTTTTTAATTTGAGACAGAGTTTCACTCTTGTCACCCAGGCTATAGTATAGTGGTGTGATCTCTCCTCACTATAACTTCCACCTCCCGGGTTCAAGCCATTCTGCCTCAGCCTCTCAGGTAGCTGGGATTACAGGCGCCTGCCACAACGCCTGGCTAATTTTTGTATTTTTAGTAGAGACAGGGATTCACCACGTTGGCCAGGCCGGTCTCAAACTCCTGACCTCAGGCGATCCACCTGCCACGGCCTCCCAAAGTATTGGGGTTACAAGTGTGAGCCACCAAGCGCAGCCCGTGTCCTCAGTTTTTTGCAGAGATTGAGTGGTCACTGGCAGGGCGTCTGAAGGAACTTTCTGAGATGCTGGGAATGTTTTGTGTGCTGTACAAAAGGGATGCCAGTAGCCACATGCCACGTGGAATGGTTGAAATGTGGCCAGTGTGAGATTTTTTTTAATCTTGCCTATTTTTGATGGACTTAAGTTGAAGCACCTGCTTGTGAGCGGCTACCGCGCGGGATGGGACTGGAGGAAGCTGGAAAGCGCTCGCCTGCGTTTCGGGTGCTGGCCCAGCAGAGGGCGCCGGAGAGCGGCCGGAGCCGCAGGCGGGGTTGTGGGAAGAGGCTGGGATCCCGTGCGCGCTGGTGCACCTGGGCCAGCGCGCAGATTATCAACGGAGGAATTCAGTTCCTCGGAAACAGTTCCTCCGTCTCCAGCCTCCTCGCCCACACGGAGACAAGGAGAAGTCACACGTACTTCTCGCGGGCTCTTACTCGTGGTCCCGGTCTCCTCCCGGCCCCCACCTCCCAGCCCAGCGCGCACACTAGGCGGCACGTGATCTCCACGCTCTTCCTCCCGCGCCCCTTGCTCACCCGACCCCCGTGGGAGTGGCCCATCCTCTCCGCGTAGATACCTGCAGTCATTGTCACTA